TTCTGATATCATTTATAGTCTGAGTGGTTTGATTATTGAAATTAGCCTGACTTTATATAAATTGAGAAAATACTTCTTCAAAATTCCTCTAGAGGTGGAGTGTAGGGAGCAAAATTAGAGAAATTTTGTTGAAGTATATTGTGATGCATGATTTTCACCCCTCTAATTAAAACTGGGGAGATTTTTCCACCAACGGTTATATGTATTAGAATATGAGTTGTTATAAGGCTTTGAGAAATTATTTCCAATATTTGTTTGATCGTGTAAAACTTCTTTCAAAGAAGGAATTGTTGGACACTCTTTTATGGTGTGTCTAGAGATTTCACAAATGTGACAAATTTTCTCAATAGGAGCAATGTCTATCTCATTAACCTTTTTAAAATTCCATAGCCTCAACCCTCCTAGACAATGTGACAATTCCTGCCCCTAGGTCGTCATCATCTCTCAACTGATACTTGCCCCCTGGATGATGAAGAATTCTTATTCTTAGAAGGTTCTTGGGATGTGGTATCCCAAGATTGTACATTCTCGGCTAAACAATCTGGAAAATCAAAAGTCTCATCCAGTTCCTTATTCATAAAATCACCTTTATACATCATTTCTACAAAATGACGCATTTGAGGGGTTAAACCCTCATAAAAGAAACTTAGCACACGTTAGCTCTCATATCCATGATGTGGGAAAGATGCAAGAAGGTCTTTAAATCTATCCCAACTTTAGTAAAAATTTTCAAACTTTTTCTGAAAAAAATTCATGATTTTTCTTTTAAAAGAATTTGTACGATGTGTAGGGAAAAACTTTTTCAAAAATTCATTCTGCATTTCTGGTTATGTGCCTATAGACCTAGGTCTGAGGGAGTACAACAAAGTCTTAGCTTTTTCTTTTAATGAAAAAGGAAATAATTTCAACCTGATTGTATTCACATAAACAATTTGATCATGAAATGTAGAACAAACCTCCTCAATGTCTCTAATATGCAAATAAGGATTTTTCGAATCCATGCCATAAAATTTTGGAAGCAATTCAATCATGTCAGGTTTAAAAATGAAATTCGTGGTATGCAATGAAAAATAATGCATGAAGGTGCAGTATGACGAGCAGGTTACAAATATTCACACAAAGTTTGGCCTTGATTAACATTCAGATTATCGACATCATTCCTATCATGATTACTTATTTTGTTCTCAGGATCCTCATGTTCAGGAAAATTATTTCTCCTATTATTATTAGGATTGCAACCATTGTGTGAGATATATGATTTGAATCAAATGAGTCAAATATATTTTCAAATAGAGTATCTAAGTCTTCTCTTATCAATCGTTCACTCAAATCACGATACCAAGAACTCATAAACTAAATAAAAATTAAAAGTAAAAGTAAAGAACCAAAACTAATTAACAAGAATAATAAATAACAGCAAATAAAAAAAATGGAATGAAGTTACCTGATTTGTGAAGAATCATACACCAAGAAACTTCCTTAATGATGTTACAATGATGCCTTTGTCTTCAATAGTTTCCCGGCAATGGCGCCAAAAACTTACTCTAACTTCAACTATGTTTACCCAAGCGTAGGTTGTGCAATGTAATATAGACTCGAAAGACCGGGGCCACACCCTCAGGGAATAGAGAAAACAACAGTTACCACTTTAAAACAATTAACAATCTTATAACTAATTTTCTTAGAAACAGTGTTTTAACTGACAAAATCATAATAAATTAATGTAATATACTAAAACATCTGGAACACCCTTTCAAATCTATACGATAATAATTAAAGATTCAGTTTCCATACTCAATCAAGAATCAAATTTTCAAGTGACTCCAGTTGGAAGATTTAGCAATAAAAATACAGAAACACCACTTTTATATCCAAAAGTTTATTCAGAAAAATCAAAGAACTAACTGCCGATTATAAGCATTTGTCGTGCCCGGAGTCTACAACAAATCAAACTTTCGTAACAAACCAATTCCTGACTTAACCATACAATCCTCTAGTATATTATTGTATGAAATAATTTTAATCAACTTCAACAGGGAATAACTAGTTATTTGTCTCGCAAGGAAATTTAAGTAATCAATGTATAAGACACAATGAATCAAGAATTTTTACAGAGAAAAAATTTTATTAAGAAAACAAAAGTTGAATAAATAACATATCACATATCATTAAATCATAAAAGTCAAAAACAATACCGTACTTCATTGAAAAGTTCTCCCCTAGGTTTAGTCAAATTTCTTAGCCAGACATCATAAAACTCAACCAGAAAAAGAATAAAAATATAATGAGCATTCAGTCCCCATACATAACAATTATTCCCCCTTTTATATTTTCTTCCTCAAGAAGTCTAATCAAATTCCAACTCTCCCTTTAGAGTTCTTGTTTTTTCAGAAACACGCATCCAGACACAAGTCATCAATCGTTCGAATGTAATTGACATTGAATATCAACCATTGGAAATCTTTGCCTGGCCATTCTGGAAACTCCATCCAGACGCAATAACATCATCGTCTGGATGCATTTTCCAACAAGTTCCTCTTCAACTTTCACTTACTTCCCCTATTATAGCTCCAATTTAAATCAAATACCAACAAAACAACACATTCCATCTATTACTATGATAACATCAAATCTTTGAATAAATCATTATATTTATCATTCCCTTGTATATAAATGACTACATTTACCCATCAAAATAATACATTATCCACTACTAATCATCCACCATACAGAGTCAACTCCAAAAAAGGAATGCCAACTTCTTCTTCCTTTAACCTTTACCATATTCCTTCGAGTGCATTTTTAGACAGAGGCGTCTTCACGTAATCTGATTTTACTTTATAGTCTCCTTGAAAGCTATAAGTTCTGTTCACAATATTTCAAGTGGACTAGAAACATTACCTTCAAAAAATAGGAATGCTTGGATCCAAGTCATTTCCCCACAGGTTTCTCTCACCAAACCAAACTGTGCAAACTGTTCTCCTGTCAAAGAAAGTAATCTATCAACGCCACCAAGGAATAATGAAAGGAACACAGCCTCTATTGTTTTGTTCCCAATTACTTGACTAAAATTGTCGAGCCTAAGGACGATTCTTATATAAAGATTTTTTTCAGCCTTGTCGACTACAGATTGTCATTGATGCACAACCTTGGATGCATTGTTTTCCAATGTTCTACCTATCCTGCAAAAAGTTACATTCTTTGGAATGGTAACTAATTTTAATTTCCATGCAGAAATGACATCAAAACTAGTACTTCCACCTCCTCTTATAGCCCAGAAAAGGTCTTCCCCCATTGATTTTCTATCAAGAATTTTATCATTGACATCAACTATTTGAGCATCAATAACATTGTCAGAAGCAAGGCTAAATTTACGTTCGAGTATCCCAGATCCTCCCCCACTTATCTGGCCACTGACACCAATGGAAGAGACACCTACTGCTAGAAAGGAAAGTGTTTTGCTCTTGTTTAGAATATTGTAATAAAGTTTATCTAAAGTTGCCCCAGCTTGAACACGCGCCGTTTTTTCTTCAACATTGATGTTGATTAATCGCAAGTTAAATAGATCAAGGATGACAAATGGTTTGCAATGTAAGAAAAACCTTCGTAGTCATGTCCACCGCTGCGAACTCTTATCTCTATATCATGTTCTTGACAACAGCAAATAGTTGCTTGAACATGAGACTCATGCAATGGTGTGATTATGGCTAAAAGTTTTGGAGTGCTGGGTGTAGCGAATCTTAGGTTTTGTATGGAAAACTTCAAAATGGGTAAATAGGAAGGGCTTGTTGATGTGTAAACAACTTGAGTAGAATTATGTATCTGACTAGAGAGACACTGAAGAAAAGCTTTAGTTGTATCAGGTGATGAAGCTGTTGATGATAAAATTGAGAAGAGAAAAACGAAAACGAGTGAAAGGCAAGAAGCCATTGGGCTAATCATCGTCTTCATGATTCTTGTTATTGGTTTTTGAGTGTAGATTATGAGAAAACGTCGGCTATTTATGCTACTATAAGTACTACTCCCTCAGTAATACTCAAAGATTACTTAGTTTAAGGGGCTAAATTTTGATGGTTGACATTTATTTTTCTGACAGGTGGTGACTGAGTCATATAGATAGTGTCCAACTGAAACCCATTTTCAAATATATATGTGTGTGTGTGTGTGTGTGTGTGTGTGGGTTTGGTAAAAAGTTTTGCCAAATTATATGTGTTTTACAAAGTTCTGTAAATAATCAGCTAGACCATAGAGTAATTTGTGGCTATTGTACATGCCTGTGAAGGTCATTCTTCAATGGGTGTCCGTATGGGATAAATGCTAGCATGAAATCAGATGAGATTTAGCTGACCAAAGCCACCGAGGGATTTGTTGTACGTGATTTTCTGACTTACAGAAGATATCAGGATTTTTGAGTCAAACTGATCAAAGTAACAACCAAATGTGACCAAAATCATATTTTGGCACGATACCTCCAAATCACTCATGTGCACCATACAATTTTTTCCCATATTGGAATTGTTGTGGAATTGAGGATTCATCAGTTGGCCTAATTGCCACTGCCTCATTGTTGAACCTGATGGTCACGGGTTCGAATCTTGTTGTTCCGTTCCTATATACATACTGTTCAAAAAAAAAAAAAAACATTGCATTGATGTGGAATTGATTTGACTGAAAGTGTGAATGCGGTCCTTCTTGTTGAATTTTTTGTGGGGAGATTATTGATGGTAGTGAGGTGTGGGTTGGTGAGTAAATACTGATTAAGATGGTGATAGGGCTAGATTAATATTTTTGTCTCCTAATTTGTATGAGACGGACAAATGAAATTCATAAAAAAAAAAAAAAGTTTGATGAAGATTTTCCTGAGAGATATCTCCAAAAAGCATTCTGATTTTGAACTTGTTTTGTAGGTTCTTTTCCCTTGAATTTTTTTACCAGGATTTATGTTTTATTTTGTGTTCAGTTTGTCAATGATCTGCATTCTCTTATTAGTCCAGTTCCACATGGAACTCCGCTTCCACTTGCTTTGCCGGTTAGGAATAGAGAGAAATTCTTATGCAGCTTCATGTCTTGTGGTTGATTTCATTGAGAAATTTCAGCAACAAGGTACTTCAATGGTTGTTGGTTTTACACAGAACAAAGACCACGCAGAGGTAGTTGGCAGGATACCTCTTTTCTGCTGGATGGGCTCAATAATGTACTACCTTGGTTGAGGTTTGTTGCTTTCCTCTTTTTGTTCAACATCGGCCATTTGGCTGTTGTCTTTTTTGTCAGATTTCCATTTTCGCAAGTAATATATGGTTGTCTTATGTGATTCACATATTTCTTACTTAAGATCGGGGAGCTTGGAAGGTTGTCTGCATCAATGAAGAAGTTAGAAAAGGATCTGAAGAGTACTGATAAGTATAAGGTCTGTTTGTGCTGGCAGCGTGAACGTCTCATAGTTTTGCAGCTTACACTTAATGTACTTTGTTATCATGGTAGTTTCTCATCTTTCCTTTTATGTTATTGGTGCATCTTTGATTGCAGAAAGAGCAATACTGTAATAAACTGCAAAAGTCAAATCAGAGGTCTCTAGCCCTGATTAAAACAGCCATGGATATTGTGGTTTCGGTTGGGTTGCTTCAACTGGCACCCAAGAAAGTCACTCTCCGTGTAACAGGAGCTTTTGGATTTGTTAGCTCTCTCATCTCTTGTTATCATTTCAATTACATCATGGCATCTCTAACTTCATTATTTAATTATTAAAAGAAACATTAGATTTCGAAGATAAAAATTTATTAACCAAGTCGTGCCTTTTAAAAATGATTTTTTAAAAAATAAAAAAATTTAGTTACTCAAGATAAGTAAAACAAAGAGAAAGGACCATTATATTCTACTTGATATTCATGATTACTTTCTGAAATCTATTGTTCTATACTTATAACTAAGATCTTAGTTGTTCATAATGGGAGCAGGACAGCCTGAGGAGGGGTTTTTGACTGCTTATGGTTCAGATTGTGTCACTTTTTCTGTGAATGAGATTCTTGGTTTCTGCATGCCCGATTGTGGGGAGGGTAGGGTTTATACATTTTGCTTTCTTGACTATTGGTGTTTAAGTGTCCAACTATTTTTCTGGTTATGGTTTTGGTTTTTGTATCATCCTGGAGTTAAAGGAGGGATTGCTTTTTTTCTTTGACTATAGATGATTTTTCAGTCATCCTTTTAATGTTAATGGGCCCTTTTTCTCTCCCTCTGCATACAAAATGGGGTCTAGGGGGGGGCCAGAGGACGGGTTAGAGTTTTGCTCATGACTAGCATCCTTCAAAGTTGCCCGCTTTTCTGTCTGTGATTTCTTGTTTCCTGTCCATCAGTTGCTTCCTTCACCACAGAAGTCCAAGACACCCTGAAGCTGGATGCCCATTTTATTTGTCACGGTTCATTCTGTTCCACTCCTATGGTTGTTATATATAATGTCCTCTTTCTATTTTCGTACCTAAACAAGAACTTCAAGATTTCATCTTTTTATACACAAGAACTTCGATGCTTCTGGGCTGCCAACTGTGATTTGATTTATAATATAAAGAAAGAGTTCTTGGTTTGGTTTTCGACTTCAACCATGGAGAAAGAGATTGATCAAATTACATCCAATACAGATGTAGGAAATTTTTTCAAATTCAATACCAATTTGAAAATGGTATGGAATTCTAATACAATAAATAAATTGAGCTAGTCTTAAGATATTCATTTAAAAATCAAATTAGAATTAGCTAGTGTTAACCCTCAAGGATAGTTGAAGTGAAAATATGAACAATAAAGTTAAATTCCTTTAGGTCAAAAAAAAATTAGTCAAATTACATGTAAATTGATCTGAACACTCTTAGTTGTTAAAAAAAAAAATTGACTAATATCGTATAGGAACCGAAATTTTATTTGATCCAAACACCGGGCAAATTGGATCCGAACTTGTCTGACCCTGCCGTATTTACCAAAATTTGTTTGAACCCGACGGATCTTGCCAAACCGTACCGGTCGGATCTATTGTATAAAATTGAATACTCGGGTTGTCCCTCGCTCAACTTACCGCCTCTGCCTCTCACTCTCACTCTCTCTCTCTACTCTCCGGCGAGAATCACATTCATCTCTCTCATTCGCACTCGCTAGCAGCACGGCAGGTAAGTGATTTGCTCCTTTTCACTGTCCCTTCTTTGTGGTTATAACCAACACTGCACCGATGCTCACTAGGCTTGATTCAAAGAGAAGAACGTGAGAAATGGATTTGTGTTTATTTGTGATACGTCTGGGGAGATTCTTGTGAGGTTTTCTCTAAATGGGTGTGACCCAGAGTCATGAGTGTATGTGATTTGTTGCTTTTTTGCTTACAGCCACAATAACCTTGCAGTGAATGCTTGATAATGTGATGAAAATTTTGGATGTTTTTCGTTGAGCTTAAACTATGCTGTTGTGTCTGACCTGAAATGACCAGGAGACACGATCTTATGTTTTGTTTGCTTGTCCTTTCTTGGCAACCAAACGGGGAAACTGATATATTTTGTGATTTTTTTAACTTTATTAGATTGGTGCCAGATGGTCATTTAGTTGTTTGAATCGAGACCATAATTAAGAATCTGCGTTGCCCTGTTCTTTGGACGAGTTCTACGCATAATGCATCAGCTATTGGTCCAAGGAATCTAAAAGTTCTGGCTGCTTCGGGTGCCAGTGGCTCTGGTGGTATTCATAATGGTTTAAGTGGAAATGGTTGGGACCTAGTTGGGCAATTTGTTGGGAGCTCAATATGGGGGCCTGTCCCATTTGAGAGAAGTATTTGCATACATAGTTACGTGTTGTGCAATGTTGGGAATGTTAGTATTGCTCTTGTCTTGTCCTTTGCTTTCATGTCACTTTGAAGTTTTGGATATAGGTGTACTCTTCTAGGTCCTTCTACAAGTCTTTGTTACAAATTTCACCTCCTAATTTGTGAAAATACTGATGAATAGAAGGCAGTACCCTAAGGAATCTATGGGGTAATCGAAGGAAGGGTGACGCCAATAGATGGGTGAGTTTACTACAGCGGAGGTGGCACAGTGAGAGAATGCTTTTGAATTTATCCAGTGCATCTATACCTTTGATGCATATCTTCAGCCTTCCAGTTATAGAATTTTGTGGTAACAATGCACACTGTAGATTTGGGGCAATGGGATTGCCACTAATTCCCAAATGTAATTTTGTACTACAGTTAACAGAAATTGCTCAATCCCAGCCGACCCATGCTCTTGGTGTAATGATCTCAAATGGAATGGGAGTCATGGATCAAATCACCAAAATTACTCATTCCAAATTGTAGCCGAATCCAAAATTGATCGCGTGTAAAATAAATAGTCATTGACTATTTGTTTGTGAGTGCACAATTATATAATTTTGTATATTAGTGAAAGCAACCCCGATAAGAGTAAAAAGATGCATTGCAATCCAAAGCACCATATCAGCATAGTCTACCTCCCATCGCACGATGTACCCTAGATTGGCTTTATTATAGATGGACATGGGATTCTAGATTGCCATAAATAATACATACTATTAAGTTCTTTTTTTAACATTTTATTCTGTCGTTTAACCATACTAGTTTTCATGTAGGAGTCATCAACAAACATTCTTGTAGTCATTTACAGAGAGCTGCCTTATTCGAGTCATCGTGGGGAAGGAATTTTGAAAACCATCGCAGACTAGGTCAGACATTTATTCTTCACTTACTTTTTACTGCTAACAAGCTACTTCACTTTCAGCAAAACTACAAATTACACTTCAATAGATGTTTCTGTATTATTGGCGGCACTGCGATTATTGTATAGTTTAGTTAGGAGTCATTTTCCTTCCCAAGTTCTGAACATACCTTGGGGCTTTTTATTATGTTGGTGATTTGATACAATCATTTTCCCTTCGTCAAATTTTTATTTTGCTTGGTCTATTCTGTTCTACTTCATACATTGAAACGAAGTTGTCAAAACTTGCCAATTTTCCGCAGGTGAGATGTACCTATCTGCAACCCTCGAAAGCATCTTCAAATTTGTAACGAGCATTGCGTACCAGTGAATCCATATGCTAGCCAACACTTGGACAAGGTAACAACTAGAGCTTTAATTCTACCTGATTTTCATGATTACTTTGTGAAGTGTTAGTTTTCTATATTGATAACTAGGATCTGAGTTATGCATAAGTAGAGTAGGGGAGACTGGGGAGGGGTTAGGCGTGTTGTTTGGATAACTATCTATGGTTCAGAGTGACTTTTTTCCCACTGTGAATGACATTCTTTGTCTCTGTGTGCCTGGACATTATAAATTTATTGTCATGTTTCACTCTGTTCCATTACTAGAGCTATAATATCTTATAGTTTACTCTATCTATTCGCATGTATATTAGCTCAGAAATTGGGGGTTTATCGAATATTGGGAATGGGAACTATCTCTCCTCGCTAATATGTTGTTGAAAAATCTGTCCTTTATTAATATGCTGTTTGGCATTCCTGCATTGTAGCATGATGGTTTTGGCGGGTATGGTATAGAAGTGCTCATCAAGTAACACTTGGTCGTCACTCATGTCACTTTGAGTCTTCATTTTACCATGTTGGTTTCATTAGGTCGTAAAAACGCTAGCATGAAATCAGATGAGATTTGGTTGTGCAAAACCACTGATGATTTTGTTGTACATGATTTTGTGACTTACAGAAAAATATCAGAATTTACAACTCAAACTGGTCAAAGTAACAACCAAATGTGACCAAAATCATATTTCCTCACCATACCTCCAAATCACTCTTGTGCACCATACAATTTTTTTCCATGTTGAACTTAACGGTCACAGATTTGAACCTTGTTTTTCCTATCCCATGTACATATTGTTCAAAAAAAAATAATGAATTGATGTGGAACTTGAGTTGACTGAAAGTGTGAATGTGGTCCTCCTTGTTAATTTTTCGTGGGGAGATTATTGACGGTAGTGAGGGTGTTGGTATCTCCGTGATATGCTGACAATGAAAGTGGGGTGGGTGGGTACATAGTGATTAAGATGGTGATAGTGCTAAATTAATATTGTTGTCTCCTAATTTGTATAAGACGGACAAATGAAATTCAAAAAACAGTTATTTTTATAAAAAAAAATTAGACCTAATTGTCTTTTGTATTTTGTAGTAATTAGACGATAATAAAATGTGATCATAAATCATAATTATCTTCATTATATTTACAAATAATGGAAGGGATTGTGGATTCCAACTATCATGTTTCCTCCCATATTTTTTTGTATGCTTGCACTTTGCGCTGCATCACTTTATATTTATGTATTATGTAATATGGTGTAATTTCAATCTTTTTAGGTTCTTGGAGATTAGAAAATGAACTACCTTAATTTTGTCATGCCATATATTTAAAACTAAGTATTGTTCTTTCGTTTTTTGGGATATTATGTGTTTTCAGGTGAACATGAGTGAGTGTACAAGCAAAAAGTAGTAAATAGAATAGATGTATGGCTGCACTTGCATATATGTTGTAACACAGTTCAGGAGAAGTATTCAGTCTTAAACCATGTTTCTGCTCCTTTTCTTTTTCCTTTCTTTTTCTGGACAATATTGCTCCAACTCATTCTTATATAGTTTATGTATTCAACACTCCTCTCTCTCTTCTCCCCTCTCCAAACAAAGATAATAACATTATATGGTAATTCTTAATCCCAGAAATAGATCACATAACAAAAGAGAGTACAATTTATTCAAAACATGATTTGCATTACAACTTATTCAAAATATAGAATCTTTTAGATTCTAATCAAGTTCAATATCCCACTGTTAAATTCACTTGGCCTTATGGGAGGCTAGCTATAGGATTCAATAGAAACCTACCAGTAAGGCCAAATGAATATAATAGTAGATGATTGAATTTTATCAAATTAGAAATATTTCTCAATTACCATATACTCTTCTTCATCTTGAAATTATCAATTCTCTAGATGACAGATGGAATACTCTGCTCATTTTTGAAGAAATTATTGGGATCAATTAAGCTTTTTGCATGCACCAATCTATTGAAATTGTTCTTGAAGTATTTCTTACCCCAAATACTTGCTCCTGCGTAACTCGTCTTGTCGTCATTTACTCCAATATCTATATCCCTATAATTGATATAGGCTTCTCTCGGATTCTTTGAAACATAGGGAGCCATATACTTGTAAAGCATTCGGAGCCAATTCATATGCCTTTCCCCTCCTTCTGTCCAAAGCAGCCGGTATTCAATTTGGTATATGTTTCCGGCTCTGTGGGGGAAAGGGGTTGCAGACTCTGAAATTTCACTCATTTTTCCACCATAAGGACTTAACTCTAGAAAAGGAACGCCAACTTCTTCTTCCTTCAACCTTTCCCATAGTCCTTCAAGTGCACTTTCCGAAAGGGGTGTTTTCACATAATCTGTTTTTACTTTAAAGTTTCCTTTATAGATGAAAGTCCTGTTCAACAATTCTTCAAGTGAGGTGACAAGTATACCTTCGTAAAAGAGGAATGCATCAATCCATCTCACTTCTTGGCAATTTCCTCTCGCCAAACCTAATTCTGGAAACACTTTTCCCATCAAAGAAAGTAGTCCATCAATGCCACCAAGGAACGATGTAGTGAACAAAGCGTCTACTGTTTTGACTCCAACTTGACCAGAATTTTCAACTCTAAGGAAGACTCTCATAAAAAGATTTTCATCAACCTTGTCGGCTATAGTTTGCCATTTATGCACAAGCTTGGTTGCATTGTTTTCCAATGTTCTATTTAGCCTGCAAAAAGTCACAATCTCTGGAACGGTAACTAAGTTTAGTTTCCATGCCAAAATGACACCAAAACTAGCACCTCCACCTCCTCTTATAGCCCAGAAGACGTCTTCCCCCATGGATTTTCTATCAAGAATTTTACCATTGACATCAACTATTCGAGCATCAATAACATGATCAACAGCAAGACCAAATTTGCGTAGGAGTACACCATATCCTCCCCCACTAATGTGGCCACCAACACCAATGGAAGGGGAACTACCTGCTGGAAAGGCAAGGGTTCTGCTCTTGTTTAGAATATTGTAATAAAGCTCCCCTAGAGTTGCACCAGCTTGAACCCACACCGTTTTTTCTTCAAAATTGACGCTGACTGATTGCAAGTTAAATAGATCAAGGATGGCAAATGGTACCTTAGCAACATAAGAAAAACCTTCATAGTCATGTCCACCACTGCGAACTCTTATCTCTATATTATGTGTTCGAGAGCAGCATATAGCTGCTTGAACATGAGACTCGTGCAATGGTGTAATTATGGCCAAAGGTTTTGGAGTGCTGGGTGTAGAGAATCTTAGGTTTTGTATGGAAAACAGCAAAATGGACAAGTAGGAAGGGCTTGCAGGTGTGTAAACAACCTGAGTGGAGTTATTTATCTTAGTAGAGAGACATTGAAAAAAACCTTGAGTAGTGGTATCAGCTGATGAGGCTGATGATGATAAGATTGGCAAGAGAAAAACGAAGCTAAGTGAAAGCCAAGAAGCCTTTGGGCTAATCATCTTCATGACTCTTTGTTATCTGGTTTTGTGTGCAGAAACATAAGTAAACATCGGCTATTTATGGTACTTTGCTAGTACTAATATTCAAAGATTTCTTTTTGTTTTTTGGGCAAGTAAAGATTCCTTTTTTTAAGCCTGAAGGAGCGGCCGAAGTTTCCATAGTTGAAATTTCTTGGTTTGAGGGGCGGCCGACCGACTGAGTCAGATGGATATTTGTCGAATTGAAACCTTAACCCATTTTCAAATTTGTATCATAGAAGCTTTTTTACGAATTCCACGTGATTTGGTAAGTATTTTGTTAAATCATATCATATGTGTCTGGTAAAAAACTTGTATGATCGAAGTTTGAAATTAATCTATTGGAAAATTACACTTTCAACCCTTAAACTATGATCTTTTTTTTTACTTTGTCTTCTTAACTATCATGCTTTTTCATATTACATTTTCATCATGTTTGTCTTCACATTGATGTGGAATTGAGTCCGGCTGAAAGTGTGAATGTGGTCCTCCTTGCTCAATTTTTCGTGGGGTGATTTTTGTTGGTAGTGAGGTGTCGATTCTCAGTGATATTATCAATGATATGCTGACAATGAAAAGGGAGGGAGAGAGAGAGAGAGAGAGGAGGGGGGGTTGATTAGATAGTGATTAAGATGGTGATAATGCTAGATTAATATTGTTGTCTCCTAATTTGTATAAGACGGACAAATGAAATTCAAAAAACAGTTATTGTTATAAATTCCTTTTATTTATTTTTTTTCAAAAATAGCAATTTTATTCCATGAAATCAAAATTCTACAAGAAGCAAAGTATGGGAAACCCTTTCAAAAAAACAGCATTTGCAATGAATATTTGGAATAATTCCTATACAAGTCTTCTGTACATGTAAATCCTCCAGTTGATAACCTGTACTCCCTCCAGTAGTAACCTGCACAATGAATATTTGGAAGTTATTGTTATAAATTCCAACTACTATCTTTCCTCCCATAATTTTTTTTTTTTTTGGTAAGATAGCGCTTTGCGTTGCTTGACTTTATATTTATGTACTATATAATATGGTGTAATTTCAATCTTTTTAGGTTCTTGGATATTAGAAAACGAACTATTTTTAAAACTAAATATTGTTCTTTCGTTTTTTCGGAATATTATGTGTTTTCAGGTGAACATGAGTGAGTGTACAAGCAAAAATTGAGGGCTGTCTCTGTAATTAGATCAATCTATAGGGGGTATCAATGTAATTTATTATTGTATTAATATCAAAAATTAACTCAAATTATAATACAAGAAAATAAAACTGAATAAATAGATCGAAGTTATTGGGCATGAAGATAAAATGAGAGAGTAGAGTATTGTGATTTTTTGTATAAGAATATAGTATGATTTTTTTTCTTTTTGAATGTACATATATTTATGATTTAAAGAAAAATATTAATAAATTGTATTTTGATCGTTTCATATAACATCCTAAATTCTTTACATTTTTTTTTAAAACTTAGTCATATAATTTTGTGAGCCATACGCGAATGGAGCTCTAGGTGACCGCCTCACTTGCCTAAAAGAGTAGAGTCGGCCATGACTATGTGATTAGTTTTACATTATCCTAATTATTAATAAATGTTATATATTTAATGAAAAGTTATATCTTTGTCCCTTGAATTATATAATTTTTTTCATTTTGTCCCAACACATCAACAATACCTATCCAAAAAAATAAAAAATGTGTATGATTGGGGAGATGTGAAATAATCAAAATAGTCTTGGGAGTAATGTGAAAAATTTAATAGTTAAAGGGTAAAATAAAAAAAGGTCATAGTTGAGGGGTTAAAGTATAGTTTTACCCTTAAATCTATTTAAAATAGTATTTGCAATGAATGATTGAATTAGCTGGAGGATATGGTATAGAAAGAGACAGCAGCTCCTTCAATGTTTAATTTATGGCCCTAATTTGTGGCTTTTGGATATGTGAATGGCGACCTTTCAATGGATAGTGGTTGCACATTGGATTCCAAAGGGACAGGCTGCCAACTTTTGTCCCTATAAAAGGAGACGTACAGGGCAAGACAGAGGCATTAAAGTCTTTTTGAGTGAATGCATGAATCGGAGTTAACTATTTATTTATTTCTTGAACTATTCAATTTGTCTTTCTCCAGTCCAAATTTATCGGTAATTTAGACAAAAATTCTCACATTTATATTACGAAACTCTAATGTGCAGATCATGCACAAGAAGACCTTTGTCAAAATTATCGATAAATTTGAATAATAGAGTCGCATTGAATTAGAGTAATTATAAAAATGCTAAATATCGATGTTGATTTGATTGGTGAGTAATTGACTTTGTCGTTTACTTGAACGGACAGCTCTCTAGCGCCTGGATTTTGCCAAAGGAGATTGCCAGCTGCCTCAGTCAAGGCAATCAAATGAGGTGAAAAGATTACCAAAACAGAATAGCCTACTGAGTTAGCCCACTAAAAAGTGTCCGAGTCAGCAGCCCTCGGACCTAGTCCACCGACAACTGTAATTTCAACCTTTATCTAAATCAGTCAAACAACATTATTCAAAACAAATAACACAGCTTTGTCTATCTTAAAAAGAAAGAAAAGCAGACCCTCTAGAACCGCGTCACCAACTGCGTCTATTCTTTCTGGGCAAGTTAGATATGTTAAATTACAGTTTTGATTTTATTTTATTCTCGATTATTAATTTGGTCTTATGAGCCGAAAGTCGCGGGTTCGAAACCTGCCGGGACCATGTTCTTTATTTACTTGGTCCTTAATTAGTTTTTAACTTTCAAAAAAAAAATTACTGATTGTGCAATTAATTTATCTTTTACACCTAATAATTCAATTAATTTTATTTATTTAACTGAAAATAATAATTATATTATACTGTATGAGATAAATTCTTATATGATCTATGCATGTAAATGTTATAACATTAACAATTTGATTGAATGACTCAAATTGAATGAAAATATTTATATAATAATATACAACATAAAAAATATTTTTTTTTATTTTTTTGCTCTTGAGATCATTTTTATTTTTATTTTAAAGTTAATCTAACGGATAATGTTAACTTTTCAATTTTAATAGGAAAAATAGACCCACAAAAGGTGTGTTTAAGGTAATTTTTCAAAAGTGTATCTAGAATTTATGATTTATCATAAACGCTTTAAAAAAAATAGATAGTGTTTAGAACAGCTAATTTTAATTATTTCTAAATAAGTTAAAAATAGTTTTATCACTTAAATCAGTAAGAAAAATAAAAAAATAATAATTTCTATTCATTTAAAATCACTTCTCTACCAAACAATTCACCACAATCACTGTTACCAACGCAAAATACCACACCACCATCACCTCCATCATCATTCATAGTCGATTACTATCATTGTTACCACCCATCACAATCACAACTACGATCACATTCTTATTTTTATTATCACTATCATCATTGTCGCCCACCACTCACCACTCACCACCATCCATTGTCATCCACTTTTACAATCCACCACCACTCGTCGTTGTCCATTGTTGTTGTCACCCATCGTCACCAACATCATCCACACTTACAACTATCATCATCATCAACACCACTGTCATCGCTCAATCACCACTGCCAACTATAATTATCGTCGCCCACCATCACTCACACCCATCACTACCACTACCACCACTGTCGTCATCCATGATTGTCACTACTATCATCTTCACTTAAAAACTACCACCACCACCACCACGATGGTCGTCGTTTATCAAAACCATTACCGTCTCCCACCTCTATTATTACCACCACTCACTCCTTACATTCGGTATTTAAATTCATTTCTTTTCTTTTTATATTGTAATTTAATTTTAAGTGTGAATATAAATACATTTATAATTAATAATTTTTTTTTATTGCTCTATGCTATAAACCACGAGCAATAACTAATCTTAGTATACTACTATTTAACCGCCTCTAGAAAAAATCTCAGCTCAACCCTTTTGTTAGGCAATACCAAATAGTGAGTTAGGCAAGCCTCCCCCCAGCCAGGAAATTTTCACGTCAAGTCTTTTGTTGGCTTTATCCCACGTTTACACGAACTTCATCATTTTTTTACTCTAAAGTTGCATAAATTTGGTACACCTGCGCCTTGTACCAACCCAAATTCTACGTTTTCTCATCATACGTCCGCATTGAAAGTCATAAAAATAATAATACTTTCACGTCACCCTCTTCAATACGGAAATTCTATGATCCCAAAAAAAAAAAAAAAAATTCATACCTCACCATCTGTTATTCTTTTATTTTATGGATAAAATTATAATTTTGAAAGGAGAAATTAAAATTGTTCAAGGAAAAACATAATCAACCATGAAAAATACGGTATCGGTATCAACTTTTTATAATCAATCATACCCTTTAAAATTGTAATTTATATTTCAAAAAAATTATAACTTAATCTTAAAAAATAGTAATTTTTGATATGTTACCGCCGATTGTATCATAGTCTTTTCCCCGATCAATGTCCTTACCAAGATATGCATGAAAGAATGACGCAAGATAAATTCATATAAAATATAATTTAAGCACTTGATTGACGCAAAAAATATATAATTCAAGAGTCAAATAGGTAATTAACTCAAATTATTGTGATTATAACCATTAAATTTTTGTTAAAGAAATGATATCAGAATGATATTCTTTTATTAGAATGAATACTTGTGAAGTTTGCACTCTTATTTATACTTTATAATAAAACTCTTTGATGATTGCCGCCATGGAGGTAGACTATTAATCAAATCACGTAAACTATTTATATATTTTTGTGATTGTTCTTTTGTATGTTTTTTTTGTTCACTTTATTATAAGACTGACTCAATATCGGTCTTAATTTGATTGATGAGTCGTTTACGCAACACTTGAGGTGAGTGTTTCTCCGAAGGCCAGAGATGTTGACTTTGGTCGTTTACTTGTATGGACAGCTCTCTAGCGCCTGGAATTTTTGATATATATTATGAAAAATTTCAATCCCGATACTTTTAGTTTATGGTATCTTAAAAGACACGCATTCTATTATTTAAAATAATATTGACACCCCTTTTTAATTTATATTTAAATGTCATAGACATCCCTTACTGTTAAACCTCCATTTCTAACCAAAAATATATATATATATCCAAAATACCAAAATTATTCCAACATAAACTTAAACAATCTTTCTACATAAAATTCGAGCTAATTAAA